AATTTTTCACATTTTTACTAAATAAATGCAGCATTGGCATAATAAAATTGAAAAACACTACAAAATCATACAGACCACAAACTTTTGAATGGTAGTGCAGGTATTGTGAAAACATAATGAAGACATCATATTATCAAGGTCATATTATGTTGGTCTCACCTGCATCCGAGTGTATGCCTTGTGGCCATTACGAATCTCCACCAGCTCTGCATCTCTGGGCAGAGAGACTAATAGCGGCAGCCGCTGGGCAGAGTCAGTCAGACGACAGTTCACATAGAGTTCGAGGCTCAGGTACTCTCTGCGCAAGCCACCGACACGGAGTATAACAGACTGAGACTGTCCTTCTGCTAGATTTGGGCTCTGCAGATTGACTGTGTGCAGCTTCCCATCTTCACGAACATACCGGACCAGAACTACAGTAAAACAAACCTTTTAGTGATGTTCTGAGCAGACACCACATCCGCAACCCATTTTATCTCTGTGATGTGATGTATTTATAAGTGAAACAGAATATTCGATGAGAAAAAAAATGTAGGGCGGGACTTGATTTTATTCATCAGAAAATGATTGGATGGTTAAAATGGAGCCAAATCTGAATGTACGTATGTTGAAACAATAAGCAACAAGCTGTTGGATGTTGGTCAACAATATGAAACAGCCAACGCAGTGATGCCAATGGAATAGAAAAGCTGTTTCAGAGAAAAAGCAAGAACAAAACAAATGGTCATTACTTTTGTTAATCTTGCTCACGATGGCAACCTCCAGGTATTTCTTGTTATCCTGCTTGTTGTAGAGACCCAGCAGGACTCCACCCAGTTTAGGAGGCAGACGGAAGGAAGACATCACATACACATCACTGAGAGTCTTCAGAGCTAAAGAGATCTTCTCCACCGCAGCCACGGTCTGCTTCACATCCTCCAAACTCAACACGTCTATCACTGACAGAGAGAAACAGAGACAGCTAGAAATAAAGGAACAGTAAATGAATATTGTCATCTTGTTCCAAATGCATATGCTGATATTCTCCCAAGAATGGAGAATTTCTGCAGAAAACTTTACTCATTTTTTGTACAATGACAGTTTATAGTGACCACAGCTTTCAAACTCTAATAAGATATCAAATGAAAAGCAATAAAAGCACCAATGTAAAGTCCAACAATCTTTTCTTTTTCTTTTTTTTTTTAAATAATGACCAATAATTCCATTATTTTATCTTAGCAAACTTTTTAGAATTTATTTTTTAATTATTCTTAATAACTCTCATTCCCCCTCCAGTCCGTCTTGTTCTTACGTTATTTGGCTGGTTAAATTAAAATGAAACAATTAAAATGTGTAAAATTGATCAAAAGTCGGTGAGTTGAACTGGAGAACTGGATCAGACCTATTTGTGAATTAATCATTCAGACTAGGTTTGTTAAATGGGTTAATTGACCCATTGAAAAAAAAAACTGACTTGAAAAAAACAACAACATCAACAACAGCATGAGAGTGAGTAAATGAGGAATTTACTATAGCCTAGTAGCTACTACAGTCTCTTCATCTATCAGAGCTTTTATGAAACTGGACGAGGTAGAATGTTTCTCAAACTTTCTCAAAAAGTTACAAATTAAAGACAGCAAAAAGAGTGAATGCGAATTGAAAACATAGAAATTATAACTTTAAAATATATCTGCCAATATATAGGAAAGATAAAGTTTATTAACTGATAACTACCCGAGAGAGGCCAGTGTAACTAATTATGAAAGTTAAAAAAAATCTGAATAATTACCCGGTACGTCTTGTTTCTGTGCGCACTCTGTGAACCAGACGAACGTAAACACGAAGAGACTGGCCCAAACTTTCATGTTTACAAATAATACACGCAGAAGTGATAAAGAAAATATCCAGAACAGATTCGTCGGCGATGCATTGAAACACGAAATATTTCCACTGGAACAAACCTGCGCTGTGCAGGAGAGGGAGAGAGGGAGGGAGGGAGAGAGAGAGAGAGAGAGAGAGAGAGAGAGAGAGAGATGAATCCACCCTCCTCATCATCATACAACACATTTAAAACACACGCAAGATTGATAGCACGCGTAGACACAGAGGGCAATAAACCGGAACGTTTTTGAAAGTTTAATTTGACAAGCCGTCTTCAAATCCCAGTGCAACAGCCATGGACGTAAGTCTGACTTTTGCGAACAGAAAAAAAAGTAGTTAAAAAATAAATAAATAATGAAATAATGAAAAGTAGCACAAGTTATGTAGCGAGTGTCTGTATCGGTCTCGGGGTTCGTCTCGCGAAACAAAAAATATTGTAGCAAGGCGATATACATATAATATGTAGGTCTTTAAAAATATTTAAAATGTTCTTCCAATGTACCGCGCTCATCGTACTGTTGCTATGGTTACCCCTTAATGTGGACGTGACTTCCGTTCGCAAGTGTCTGCTTGGCGTCAACAAAAGATATCCACTCTGGTAGACTTTTTTTTTCTTTCTTTCTTTCTTTTTATCCCTGGTAGACTTTTATGTTGTTGTTGTTGTTGTTGTTGTTTATCTCTGGGTAGACTTTTGTGATAACTCTTTTGTAATAAAAGTTATTTAGAATTAGTGTATGTACTTTTTATATTTAATTTTATTTTACTTTTTTTTTTTAAATGGAGATAGCAATGCCTCCTTTGATATATAAACATTGTAATTATTGTAATAAACGATTATTGGAGCACGTTTTGCAAGAAAATACTATCTTAGTCTATCTACTTGATTTCGCAATTAATTAAAGCATTACTGTAATTATTTGTGAAATTTACTAGCAATTTCTGAGTAACAATTATTTAGAAGTAAATCCTACACCATTTTTCAGTTTATTTAAAGACCTGGTATTTACTCCATGGTAGAATAGCCTACTTAAAATAATATACATGGTAATACCATAAGAATTGTTGTTAGTGTCAAAAGAACAAATGCAAACACCAGCTTTGACATCTATTCCCGCTCAAGTTCATAATTCCAGGGTCAGCTCTTGATTTTGTGCCAGTCTGCTTGCAAACACAATCTCCTGGAATAAAGAAAGAAAATGCTGTTGACATTTTAAAGCAGAGCAGTATGAGGGCTGTTCAGTTTCAGCGTCCAGTCTCAACAGTTTGTCTTGGGGAGATGTTTATTTTTCATTACCTCTGAGTTTCCCTAGAAACAGCTTTAAAGCACTTTAAATGAGGAGCTTGTTAAACTGCCCTCATCCCAGGAGGGAAAATATGAGCTTTGAGTAAAAATTTTCAATTTCAAACTTTTACACCCTGAACAAAACCAGAACGGTCCATGACACACAGTTCAGAGCATTACCCCACCCACCGCTTCCACATCTCAATCCCTGTGTGGAAAATGAGCACAGCCCAAATGCATTTTTGCTTCTCGAACAGGAATTCTTTCCCAGATGATTCTTCTGAGGTCATTAAACAATGTTGTGTGGCTTCGGGGAGCTCCTGATTGCTCTGGATCTAGTGGTGGGGAGGGGGTTCACTGTTTCCACACACAAATACAGGAAACAATCCCAGGAAAGAACAGGAGCCAGAGAGATTCCAGTCTGGTGCTGTAACACACAGCTGTGTCTCCCCAGGGCACTACTGTAATTCACAGAGCCCTCGCTCAGTCACCTCTGATGCTCGGAAACACTGCCGGCAGGTAAACTAGCTTAAAGAGAATATCTTTCTCTCTTACAACCTCCACTTCACACAGTCCTCAGGGTCATTTGTTACAACAATGCAACAGATAAAATCAGCAACTCCCTTTGTGACAATGCAGCGTTGCATCTGCAGAAAAAAAGAAACCCACTGCAGAATCGGGATTATTCAGGACTGTTTATTTGCCCCTTAAATTATGAAAATAGAAATCAATAAGCAGTATGTATTTACATCCCATTTCAGTTAGTGAAAAAAAAGAGAAGAACTGCTGTTCAGTCTGTAGTTTGATTTCCATCTCCTTATCCGTAACAGATAAAATGACTCATGTATGAATGAATACACACATATCAACACACATCAGTGAACTACTGTAGTTTTGAAGCTTTATGGTGTGAAACAAAGATATTTAGGCAAACTACAAACATTAAGTAACAATACCCAAAACAACCATCTTCAACAATCCATTGTTTCTCTTTCAAAGAGTTTAACTAGAGTGAAAAATTCACTCAATTCAATTCACTAATTGCCTTACAGAAATTCTCATGGAAAGTTACAGGAACTGAAACATCTTAGCCCTTTTTTTGTGGTCTGTCAGCAAGATTCCTTTGGACATGAACTTTTGGTTTTAATAATTTGTTACCGTCTCCTACAAAAAGTGCAATTTCTAATCCTCAATAATGTAAGAAAGTTTCTCTCTTTATCCTTTGCAGTAAGGTGAAAATGTCACTTTCAAAGGGTTTGGTTATCCAAAAATGTAAATTCTGTCATCTTTAACTCACCCTTGTATGATTGTCACAAAAAGACATATTTTCAATCATGTTTAAGTCAATGTTTTCTATACAATGTGCCATAATACCGTTTTGGATCATTCTGGCACAATATTCAAATGTGCAATACACAAATTAGTGATGCCAAATGCTATTGGTTCTCACGTCATGTGATCAAGCGTGACGATCCAAATTTGAATATGCATATTTGAATAAGATTCAATACCCAAGAGGGATATTTTTAGTGAATAATTCTATAAATTATGGAGAGTTTCTTACATAAACTAAACTATTGCATGGTTGCAGAATACTTAGAAAACAGCACACAAGTTAATTGACCTACTTTTTCTCCTTTTGGAGCACAAAATCTGCACAATTGTGAGGAAATCAATGTCAACATTTTGCAAAATATGTCTTCTTATTTCACATAAGAAACTAAGTCGCACAGGTTTGGAATGAGACATGGAGAATAAATGATTTGGTTTTGGTGATTTATGTCTTTAAGAGTCTAACTTTCCTATTTCACTCAATAGGATCACATTAACATGAGATAATCTCACAGCAGACCAGTACTGACAGCAGAGCAGAAAAGATGATTTATGCAGGTAGCAAATAAAATGTGCATTAAAACAAGAAAAACGCTGAGCTTCAAAACAAACAAGGCAATAGCACATAAGAGATGTAAATCTCTCAATCTCATTATCATAAAGCTATCAAAAGGGTTTAAAACCCTCTGTAATAAAGCAGTTGGTCCACACAATGTAAGTTGAGGTTGGTGATGATAAGTTTTCAGTGCTTTCTCACCTAAACTTAGCTTAACATTAGTAGCTATAAAGAGATCTGCTTTTTATTTAAAAAGAAAACACAGGTGAATATACCCAGTCAAGAGATTAAAGCAACAAGTGCAGCTCTATGGAAAAAAAAAAGTCGTCTAACAAAGATATAAAACCAAAGATTATCACGCAATTAAAGCTCAAGTCAAGGAATAAGTAATACATAAATCCCCAACAATATGTTGTTCCTGTGTGTTCCTCCACCAAGTAGACGTGACCATCCCAGTGCAACTAAAAAGTCCTACTTTCATTCATCCTCATTCACTCCTCCTCTTCTTCCTCATGGGAGGGGCCTCTGAGTGAGGCAGGGCCTACATGCTCCTCCTCCTGCACATGCTCAATAGCTACTATGCCCGTGAGGAGAGCATAGCTCAACATCGCTGCTACGGCGACCAGCACTGACAGCAGCTGCTTGCGTCTCTTGTATGGCTCGTTGTCAAAGTCGCTCCCCTGCTGTGTGCTGGACATCGGACGATTGACGCCCTCTGCAAACAAAACAGACACGAACATCAGGACTCAATGACCCTTATTCTACAGACAGAAGAATGGATTTTTTGTTCTTTGCAAACACTTTATTGTGGTTATTGGTCACCTTTACTCTCGCTGGGGAAGTACAAGCTCAAGATGTTGCAGCAAAATGTGTTCAAGTTGTCCAGATTCTTCAAGTTCTGCTGCAGTCGGCAGTTAGGCAGCCGGATCTTAATAAGTGGAGCTAGATGACCAAATACATACGCATCTAGAGAAGAGGGCCTTTAACACACATACAAAAACATCAAATGTATATAAAAATGTATAGAAAATGTATGTACTACACCTAACCCATAATCAACTGAGAGTAAAGCTCAAAGATCAACCTTAATGTGTAAAACACTTACGAATCTCCAAAGAAAAATTTGTTCGATCCCAGACGCTGAGAAAGAAGATTCAGGCACTCCAGAGCATCATGGTAAAGCTGGAGGGAAAGGTGGAGAGAGTTACAGAGAATAGAGACTGAGAGGATGTAGAAGAAACAACTAGCCTAGATTATGTCCTCTTTTCATGTTATTGTTGGAATCATTATCAGAATTTTTTTTTTTTTTTTTTACAGCTGATGAATGATAAAAACATTGACAGCCAATCAGAATCCACCTTTAAAGAGCTTGAGTGCAGACATAACTGCAGTGTGGGCTTATAATAAACAGAATGCACTGGTGTGTGGACACTAATATAAGTTTCTTTCTTGGTGTGAATGTGCTAGTAAAGAGATAGTCCACTCAAAAATGAAAACTGTCATCATTTTCTTCCCCTCAAGTCTTTCCAAACCTGTATGACTTTCTTTGTTCTGCAGAACACAAAAGAAGATATTTTGAAGAATGCTGGTAACCAAACAGTTTGGTTCCCATTGACTTCCATTGTATGGACAAAAATACTAAGTAAGTCAATGGGAACCGAAACTGTTTGGTTCCCAGCATTCTTCAAAATATCTTCTTTCATGTTCTGTAAAAAAAAGAAAGTCATACAAGTTTGAAAAGACACAAGGCGAAGTAAATGATGACAGAATGTTAATTTTTTTGTTGGACTATTCCTTTAACACTGCATTAAAAGTAAACTTTGTTTTTTATCTCAAGCAAATTCATCGTAAATATAACATTCAATATATTGCTCAGCCACAGGGAGCATAACCCCAGCATGCACATTGTGATTCACAGTGTCATAAATAAGAAGAGTCGTTTCCCAACATCAGACTAGCAACTATCTAGCATAGAATTCTCTGCCAGAACGGAACTTCTTCTCTATTTGAGCCCAGATTCCACACATCTGCTGGTTTATCAGTGTCCTCTTCAGGGACCAGAACACTATTGCCTCTGGCTAGAGTCTAACAGCCGCCCTGGTGTCTCAAGGAGGTGTTATTGTCACAACAAAGACAGCCCACTCACCATCTGATGCATATCGCACAGCAAAAACAAACACTATCAAGCACAATATCCACAATTCCACCAACCTCCTCCTCTGCCTCTTCTCCAGCCTCCAGTGAACTGTTTCCCCGGATCAGGCGGAGTCGCTCAAGCTGCCTGTTTTGCATGCGGCCCGGCAGGAAGAAGTTGAGTGGGAAGGACATATTCTCTCCATGCCAGCGGCGCGTCACCTCCACGTAGTTCTTAGGATCGATCCATAAAGCATAGATCTGCCGGGAGACATGAGAGTTTGAGCAAGTACCCATCAAAACTTTCATCTTCGAGGTTCAGGATTTGAATCTCACCAGTGCAGGTAACAGTCGCTCCTCCAGTAATGAGATGAAGGCCAGAGTGTCTGCACCCTCCTTGGCCGAGAGATCATAGTCTGCATTGTATTTCTGAAACACAAATTTCCAGTATTACTATTACGTCTGCTATTGTTCAGGAAAAACAGGTACAGGGCAGCCTCCCCAAACAGGTACAGGACAACCTTCCCAAAGTCACTGGCAGAGCCAGTGTTTACAACTGATGAATGGCTTATTTATATGGTGCTGCTGGGATTTTGTAGGCCAACTCGGAAGTTAGCATTACCAAAGACTCAGCGTCAGATGCCAAGCCCATGGACCACTGGCATCTGATGCACAAGGCACACAAAAAGGTAAACACTTTGGGAGTTTCGAAGTTGTCATCTGATTGGTTGAATTCTACAGGATTTCTGTGAGATGTGTCGCATTCTTTTGCATTCCACCTGGAACCAAAGGCATTGTGATGTTAAACCCCTTCATGGAAGAGGCAGTCATGTTTACAACTGTGACAATGAGCACTTATCAGGATCAACTTAACACTGGACTTTGACAAGTATGTGAAGTTCATGGCGTAGACTCTTTAAAGATGGGCAAGAGCTTTGCTTGAGGCACTTAATGGAAACAAAAAGATTGCACGCCGATCTGCAATTGTAGGGACATTGACTACATTTTCACAGCCCTAAACATGACACTGAACAAAACAAACTGTGATTGGTTGCTTTACATGTCTCAGATGGCCTTTTGGGTGGTCCTTTACCAATGAAAATTACAATGGAGTCCAGACCTTCTGCCATCAGTCTGAAGATCTGGCTACGCCAATAAGATTTTGTTCATCGGCTTTTTGATTATTGCAGAAAGTAAGCTCTGTGACCAACAAAAGTTTATGATTCCCACAAATTTTGTTCATCAAGAAAATCTTTGCTAATAAAAGTTTTATGAATTTTGAAGCCTGAATGCATAAGGCAGAAGCAAAAAGGTAAAGTTCGGCTATAAACGAACTACACTACAGTCGCTTTTGACAAATCTTTTAATCTTTATTTATGATGTTGCTAAAAAGAACATTATTTTGTGTATTTGGTGTAATGAAATGTGTTTATGCGGTTTAAGGTTAAAAAAACACATTATTTTCCACATACTGTACATTATTGTTTCGCCTCTATGCCCCGCCTTTCTGAAACGTGTCGATTTTTACAAAGCTCATCGGTCTGAATGGCCGGCGGATCCGACGATGGAGCGGCAAGCACATGTGACGACCCCAGGCTTCGTCTACGGTGAAAGCCGATCCGGCGATCCACAGCACTAAGTTGTTGTATTCCCTCAGCGACCAGCACGGATCAGCTCTAGGCATGACGAAGCGGATATCGTCCTCTTTTGGAAGACCAAACAAAGTAGTTTCGCTTTCACAACGAAGCACACAGCGCCTTAACGACATGGCAGCGGCAGCAACAATACTACAGCGAGAATAAAAGTTACGCCTTCTTTCTTTGCGTGAACATTTGGGAGGCGTTATGCAAATCTCCCCAGATCGTGACGTAGATATGTGGGGGCTTGTTAGAACGAGCCGTTTTAGGTAGGCGTGGTTAACTCTTAACTTTTATAAAGAATATCTCTTTGGAATTGAGACTTTAGTCTTTGCAACTTTACAGATCTTCTTTATGCACCAAGAGCTTGTAACACTCCAAAGAGAAAGGAAAAATTGAAATCGCATCATATGACCCCTTTAAAATCTACAAGTTGGAGAGTCTGAGTTAGAATAGTTTGCAAGTTTTTCTTTTTCTACCAACTTCTGTATTCTCATTTAGCCACTTTTCAGCAACAGCCATTTTCCAAGACACGTAAAAGCTTAAAAACATCACAATGTAGTATTACCTTTTTTTTATGTCATACAATAAAATGTGAAAATATCTTGAGCTTGTGTTAACCACAGATGTTATTTCAGGCATTTAACCAAAAACCTATTCAAAAAACCCACTGACCTTGGGACTATGGAACCAGAAGTTCAAAAATGCAAACTTACTTCCAGGACTTGGGTTGCAGCACTCTAGCATCCAAAAAGCTGTGTAGTGTTTTGTGAATAAAGCTGCAAGCACTGACCTGATCTGTATATGCTCCTGACTCTGTAAACGGCTTTGGGTAGAACAGCACTGCTACTGGTAGAAACTATAAACGTGTTTCTAGGAAGGGTTTTGATTATGCACCTAATTAAAACCTTTCCTGAAAACACAGGTTTATTGTGTCTAATTCCATTCAAATTTAATGGATACCTTCATTGTGCAATCAAACATGATTAATGAGAAAATTAGAGGAGCATTTCTAATGGCAGCAGGCTTAACTAGAAAGGCTGTGGTACTCGAATGAACCCGAAACTACAAAATTAAGCTTTGTTTGGTACAAAATGAGCACATGACGAGGTGAAATATACAGGGACACTTGTATAATGCATGATGAAAAGCAAAACGTGACCATGACAGCAGCGAGGTTTTGCGGGCAAGAGATAATCACCTGTTTCCTCAATTGAATGATGATCTGATTGGGTTGAGAGCAGCTGCCTTCATCTTTGGTCCTGAGAGCAGGAAGTGAACCTTCAGCGAAGACATGAGCATAAGTAAAAAATTTATTTTCTATAGGCCTATAAAGATGATCAATGAAACAGTCATTTAAGCTTTTGATTATCACTCTGGATATCAATAATAGAAATGCGTGATCTTTAGAAAGCATAACAATATTACATAACGACCAAAATACTCTACTAGTCAAAAATTTGGGGTCGGTAAAATTTTCTTACAATTTTTTTTGAAAGAAGTCTCTTATGCTCACCAAGGCTGCATTTACTTGACCAAAAATACAGTAAAAACAGTAATATTGTGAAATATTATTACAAATTTAAATAACTGTTTTCTATTTCAATATATTTTAAAAAGCCATTACTTCAGTCTTCAGTGTCACATGATATTTCAGAAATCATTCTGATATGCTGATTTGCTGCTAAAGAAACATTTCTTATTACCAATGTTGAAAATAGTTGTGCTGATTAATATATTATATATAAATTACTTATAAAATATAAAATATTTTTTACATTTTTTTTAAAACTGTGATACATTTTCTTCAGGACTCTTTGATAAACATACAATGTCAAAGAAAACCATTTATTTGAAATACAATTTATATACTAACAATTTAAGTCTTTACTGTCACTTTTGATCAATTTAATGCATGATTGCTGAAGAAGTATTCTTTTTAATTTTTTTTTCAGAAAATATAAATAAATAAAATTATCTTCTAAATAAATAAAGGAATTAAGTAATTTGTTTATTTATTAAGGTTCTACACATCCAAAGATGATGTCTGCTAAAATGTGATAAACAGGCTAATTAACTGTTATGCTCTAGATTATCTTTATTTTTTATTTTATTTCTTTGTAAAGAATGTCAAAATGAATGCAGTACATTCCTGCAAAGTCAAAGGGTCTACCCAGTATAAACCTGTTGAAGGAACATTGGTCTTCAATATGGAATAATAATATTGAAGAAGAATCTTTGGAAGAATTCAGGAGCCAAGGAAAATAATAATGGAGACAGACAAGAATGTGGAAAGAGAAAAAAATACAGATGCAAGTTATCAGCAGCTCGGCAGGAAAGAGGAAAAGGCCTGTGTGCTTCAGTTAAAACACACGCTAATGTGGAGTGTTTGCCAAGAAACAGATTGTTAAAACTCTGTCTGCTTACCTGTGGGGCTTCTCCAGGGGTTAGAAATCTTGTGAATTTTCAGTGGAGCTCCAGCAAAGCGAGCGTATGCCTGGAAAATGATATAAAAGACATTATTATTATCATTATGTACACTAATTCCATTTTAGAGTTCTGGTTAACAAGATTTAAGCTTCCAAGATTAGACAGAATCTGGTTATGAGTGTGTTGCTATAGCCTCATGTCAATATGTGGCATTCTGGTCTCTAGATACAACTCCCTCCTCCAATGCAACTTTACAGGATTTTATTTACCGTTTGCCATCTGCTAGGCCAACATTAAAAATCTTACGAGCTAGAAAAGCTATTTTAATTGATCATCTGAGGTATCATTTATGTACAAATTTACAAACCAACCTAAGTATGAGCTGTGTTGCTTTCCTTGGCAAGCTCCACTAAATTACAACAAGCAACAACACAGCCTCATATATACGCAGATGAAGATAACATTTGTATTGCAACAAAAGCAAGAACACAAGAACACCTAGCTAACTTCAACAAAACAGCTCCATTCAGCTCTTGGACAGGATTAGGGGTTTAGGACGAGATGCCTCATTTTACGACTACATCCGATAAAGAGGGACATAATTTCACATTCCAGCACATGCAGCTGAGAGCTGACAGATTGAGCACTACACACCTGGCTCAGACGTCAGACCTTCAGCACGTCGTTTAGCAGATTCTTTCCATTGAAAGCATCTTATACTGCTGATCACTGGGGTTAAATTCCCTGGAGCGTTTCTTTACAATTCAGACTGAAGCCAAGAATGGCTCAGGCATAATCAGCCTTGATTCTTAAAGGAATAGTTCACCCAAAAAAAAAAAAAAAATCGACAATCTGTCATTACTGTAATTACTTAACCTCATGTAATTTTTTTAAGAATCTTCAAGCAGCTCTTGAGCAACTGACCTTCACTGTGAAGCTCCAAACATGATAAAATACAATAAATGAAGCAGTTATTACAAATAAAATAAATAGGAAATAGTATAACAAATAACTTCAGGTTATAACTTTATTTTTATTCTAAAACTCTTACGTGACCCTACATAGGATAAGTGGGTATAGAAAATGGATGGACATAATTATGCCACAAAATATGGCAGTCTGTCCCTCAGAGATTTTGTAAGCTTCAGGAGATATGAATAGTATGAACTTCTTTAATGTTCGTTTTGGAGCTGTAGTCACTATGAACTGTCCTTTAATGGAAAAGAGCTGCATAAAGATGCTTCAGATTGTGTTTCAGTTAAAAAACAGCAGCAGAATAATTTCTGGGTGATTTCTTTAACATTAGGCTACCAGCACTCACTAAAAGGGGGGAGAGGAAAGCGGATTTGAGGAAAAAGCTGAGTATTGAGTTCTGAAATTTTCTCCTTTTCCCGGTTGCACTCGAGCAGTGAGCTGGAAAAGTGCCGTAAACTTAATCAAAGGCTGACAACATAACCTCAGCTTTATTACTAGACTGAATCCTACAGAATACTAAATTATGGCTTGTAAAGTAGAGAGGATCAAGTTTGGAAATAAATCATTCCTATGTGAACAACCGGTACTGTCCAAAGCAAATACGAGGAGGAAAACTACAGCTGGCTGAAATCCACTTTGCCCACAGTAAAAGCAGTTCATCAGACTCCTGCTGTACACATAAACACACTGAAATTAGGCCACGGATGACAGAACAGCTTTTCTTGAAAGTGCAGATGGTAATAATTAGTTTGAGCCACTCATAAGATCCTTAAATAGAGTGGCACAGATGATGATTGGACTATCCTGGTTTTAAGCCCCGCCCCCGCCCTGCTGCATGTCCAATCACTGCTCTGTCGTTAAGGAACAGTGTTCTAATATAACCAAAACAAAGCAACCACACCAGAGGTTAATTCATCAATAAACAAATGCTAGAGTAAATGTTTTTGCTGAACAGTAACACTTCATACTTTTTCCTAATCTGAGCACTTTTTTTTATTTATTAATTTAAAAAATTTATAAGGTGCACCAAGCAACTAAGTCTACCATGAAAAGAAAGGGATAGTATTTTTGACAAGATTACACTGGATCCATATTAAGTGTTAGTATAAATTCCAAGACCACTGTAAAACATCAAGCACTGCATATAGAAAGAATTGACTTCATAAAAATCAAATAAGCATACTTTTAAAATCAAGAGAGAAACTTGTAGAATAAAGCAAGCACGTATCATCACAAGAGATCTCTTAAATAAAAGTAGGCCTGTCATAATTATTACAGAAATGTCTGGTCAGATTATTATATTATATTATTTGATAAAATAATGTTAAATTACATCGATATAATCACAATATATATATACATACATATATACTGTATGTATATATATATATATATATACAGTGGGTACGGAAAGTATTCAGACCCCCTTAAATTTTTCACTCTTTGTTATATTGCAGCCATTTGCTAAAATCATTTAAGTTGTACCCACTGTATATATTAAACGAATACAATAAATGCAATGAAATTGTTTTTTAAATGATGTTGTTTAATTTTATTACTCTTATAGGAGCGCTGCAAAGCAGTTGAAATATTTTAATTTTAATGTCATTTATTCACATTATGGCATAAAAATGTAAGTTAATGTGACTAACATCTTAATCTTCTCTAATGAAAAAAAAATAAAAAAATTATTATAAACAACAATTAATCACTGTCAAAAATGTTATGATAGTGACAGGCCTAACGTCAAGTTGGCAGCTACCAGGCAAATCTCCAGACATCCTCAGACCTTCACATGCAGTTACAATTTAATGCAACTATACCTTTTCTGGTGCAGTGAGATAATCTGGAAAATTCTGAATGAACTTCACATTACTAAACCATCAGACACAGGGAGCAAAACATGCCTGCGGTTTTTATAGCGCCCAGAGTAGGTGCAGACAGACTGTAACGCACAGACATCATCCTGACCGCTGGCGAACTGGAAAAATCCCACCACACTCTTTGGAGCGTCCAAAACACACTGATGTAATCTAATCACTTTAACATGCGATTTCAGCAACAGTGACCTGGTTCTGTGCCCACATACAACCTTTGTTGATTGGGAATAAAATGGATCTGAATGCAGTCTCCAAAGCTGCCAACAGGAGCTGATATTGATGTTAACTCCAGATGACAGATGTGGGTTTGTGGTTTGCAGTAGCACAGACAGGTGGCGCCCTGGTGTGACCAAACTGAAGTGGAAAAATATGAACAGTGGAAGAAATGTATCCCACATGATGATTCATGCAACAAAAATATCTGTAGATAAGCACCTTGGCTGTGGAATTAACTGAGATATTAAAACACAAGAGCTTAAATCATGAAAAGCAAACAGTGGAGATTTTCCCGTTTCAAAGGGCAGCATGATCTGACTGGTACTTAGACACTGTAAAATCATGGTGCAGCAAAACACATTTGACAAGAAAAAAAAGCAACTTAATATGGTAAACTGTTATTTAACTAAAAATAGTAGCTTATATAACCACTGATCCGAGAGGAAGAGTTCTTACCACAGTGTCTGTGACCTGGAGGAAAAAGCATCAAGGGATTTTAAATATTTATATGAATGCAGATGATTTTGTTGAACCATCTGACACAAACATGCTAAAATATTGTTTTAACTCTAATGCAAACTGGAAACACAATAAAAGACACTTCTTATTTTATTTATCTGATGGGATACTTAAAAAGTCCGACAGATGTGGTTATGGCTATTAAAATGTCTTGAGGAGAGAGTCGCCCACTGCTGCAGCCAGACAAAACACACACACACACACACACTTCTGCGGGATAATGTCACTGCTGATGTCACAGGTGATGTCATCACATAGATTCATTTCAGCAGAGGTGAGGTATGCTATTTATGGTGAGAAGTTATGACCATAAATATATAATTACCTACCCTAT